TTTTTGAATGAATTACCACACTACGCATATTGCTATTATCTACTTACAATTACTTGAAGATGGACCCTTAACTGCCGATAGAATTTTTAGCGTTTTCAGTGTCTTCAAGCTTTCGTCCATAAATCCTGATTCCTTAGGGGCGTTTACAGCAAAATATTAAAACTAAGATATTGATTAATTTATTTTACCGAAAATGCGTTTTAGGCGCTTAGTTCGTATGAGGACGGCTATGTAGTCCATATTCAGAAATTCCTTGAAAAAGCAAAACACAGTGTGGAGCAAAGAGAACGTCCCCAAAAAATTCTGATACGGTTATTTCAAAGATAATTTTTTTAAAAATAAGTTTCTATAAAAGAAATCATCTTTAAAAAAACACTGTAATTGCATATACAGCTGAAGAATTTCTGTGCATGCTTAATTTTTTCCATACGGAATGTCAAAATAATCTGAAGGTAAATTTTTCAATTAACTTGAAATGAAAGTAATCACTGCTCCCTTTGTAATGGATTGTTTCCGCCATAGTGGATAACTTCCAGGCTCTGCTCTAAGCTTGCGAACGCAAAAACACTGGTCACATGTCTAACGAAATTTTAACATAGCTATTATTATAGCTATTCTAAATTACGCATAAGCGGTAATCATACTATACAACATAACTTAGGTTGTATCTAAACATTCACAATAATAAATGGCCAGTTTTCAGTTTTTTCATCAAACATTTTTGCGGTGAAACAAAATGCGCTCAAAACACTTTTGCTGCATTTTGTGCTAAAATGCTTCACAGTTTGGCAAACAATAAATAATAAAACTGAATTTGTTCCTTATCTGGTAATAAGTGTGATTCCGTAAAATTGTCTTTACTTGCATTGGAGCAAATTCGAACTAAATTTTATGATTCCGGCTGGATTCGCTGGTTCTCCAACACCACAGGCCGAAATTATGGGCGCGGTATGTGGACGGCACCTTCGTCGTCATCGAACGGGATCAGGTGCCGAGTTCAAGAAACGTCCCAACAGCGTCTTCCCGGAAATCCAATTTACGATAGAGGAAGAAGAGAACAACCAGCTGCCCTTTCTTGATGTCCTCGTCTGTGGCAAAGATTGCGGTGGTCTAAAGCCGTAAGTATTCAGGAAAGCGACAAACACGATGCAATTACTGAATTACAACAGCAA